GTTTGGATCAAGAGTCCTGGCATGCGTATAGTGCTGAGGGTGGGCAGGGAGTAGGGGGTCTGTGGTGGAGCCAGCAGTGGTGGAGCAGGAGGGCTAAAAGGGGTGCACCAGAAGGTGGTCCACCAGAGCCTCCCACATCTGAGACCCTGCCCTCCAGTGGCAGGTGTGTGGCTCACCTGGGGCCTCACCAGGGGGCATCTGCTGCTGCCACTGCCACTGCTGCCACAGCTCATGCTTCTACTGCCAGGCTGCCTCTGCACACCATACCTCTTCCGCCCAGGCCTCATGGAACACCTCTCCCCAGACCTTGCAGATATTTTGTAGTACACAGGCTGCAATGATGACCTGGGGTAGGTTTTTTTTGACCATTCCAAGGTGGGCAGTGATGGAGTGCCAGCAGCTGATTAAGGTGGCCAAAGGCACAGTGGACCCGGCCCAATTAAAGTGGGCCTGCCTGGGATCCAGGTTGCCACTGTAGGACCTCATCAGCCAGGGAAGGAGTGGGTAGGCAGAGTCTCCAGTGAGCAGGGGTGGGACAATGGCACCCAGCTGCAGGTCTGCCACTCTGGCATGAAGTGTCTGCTCTTCATCAGCGTGGCCAGTCTGGAGTTTTGGAACATGTGGGTGTCAAATGCACTGTCTGCCCAGCTGGCACTGACATATGTGAATATCCTTTACCCCTGCAGCTATAATAGGGGTGGTATCCATGGGGCAGGCCCGTCACCATCTAAAGTCCCAATACACTGGGGTAACCCTGTAACTACTTCTTGGGAGGTCATGGACATGGAAGACAGTGTCTGCCAGTATGTCTTGGCTGACACTGCACACCTCCAGGACAGCCTTCTCAGCGATGGCCTTGCCTATGTGAAACAACTGCCCCACCTACTGCAGGCTGGCAGGTGTGGCCAGCTTGAGCAGTGCCAGGGCCAGGCGGGTGTCAGTGGAGAGGGCCAGGCACATTCTAGTATCCTGGCACTAAAGGCAGGGCCAGAGCTAGTGAAGCAGGTCTGTGAAGGTGGCCTGGGTAATCCAAAAGCCATTGATCTACTGCTCATGATCTCAGTTCTGCTGCCCCAGGTGCTGCCACTAGTGCTGGCGGGCATGGCGGGCCCAGAAGCAGTGGGGCTGGAGGCCCAGCAGGGTGATGGCAGCTCTGGTGGTGGCGTCCTGGAGCCTCTCATCAGTATTGTGGCTGGCAGCATTTGCACAGCAGTGGGGGCCCTGGGAGGGCATGCGGCAGGTAGGCAGATGTTGCTGCACATGGGGGAGCTGGCTGGGGTGAAATTGCCATTGGCCAGGCAACAGTTGGCATGGGGGGCCAGCAGGGTAACTCAAGTGGCTAGCAGGATCAGGGGACCCTGTTCCTCGCTACCAGAGCCAGGGGCTGGGGCAACTGTAGCGCAGGCAAGCAGAGGGGGTGCAAATACAGCTTCCACATGCTTCTTCTGTGCATGCCACACTGTTCCTCTGTGCACACAAACTGGCTGCCCAGAGAGCACAGGATGGGGCTGGGTTTTAAAGATGGCTGCCAGGTGCTGGCAGCTGGGGCTGGAGCCTGAAGCTCCCTCTGGTGGCCACAGGGGCACATGGCAAGGCTGAAGGCACCTGGCAGCAAATTTTCTGCCAGTTCCCTGCACATGTAGACACCTAGCCAAAATTGCTTACTGTGCAGTAAATCGAGTCATGGCTAAATGTGTGTGTAGACATGCCCAATGAGCTAAAGTGTGAATTGACAACATACTGGCTATTCTGCAGTAACTCCCCAGGTGACCAGTATAATTGTGCCTGAAGCTTCAGATAGTGGGTTCTGCTCTGCCCCACCCCCTTTTTTTTGTGGTGGTGGTGGGAGGCCTTGGGGTAAGCATTACCAAGGGCATCCTGTTGGTCCTGTTGAAGGGGTAAAGATAGGTAGGGCCACAGTGAGGGTAAGCCAGAGGGAGTGTGGTTAAGAGAGAGGGACACAGTCTTGGAAAGGAGGGCTCCTTATTTCTGCCCTCTACCATTGACTGAGGAAGGCCTAAAACATAAATCCTGAGCAAATACTCTAGCCACTTATGGAGGAGGATCATTTTGCTGCCATGTAGATGTCTAGCTGCCAGGACAAAAAAACCAAAAACAACTCTCCTCCCCACTACTAAGACGCATATGGCTTAGGCATTCAATAGGAAGCTGGAATCTGAGCACGCAGAATCTTGACACAAGATAAAATTTCCCATTGGAGCAATTGGGAAGCCACAAATCTCAGGCACAATGATCTAGTTCTGGAGGCATCTAAGGGTGAAGTTACACATTACACATATATCCGTGGTTTTCAACCTCTGGTATGCAGACCCCTGGGGGGGGGTCTACAGGCTATGTCTAAGGGGTCCATGAAAGATAACTATGATCAATAAAAAGTATGTGAATGGCCACACTTAAAGTTCAAAGGGGTCTGCACCTCCATTCAGAATTTTTTAGGGGTCTGCAAATGAAAAAAGGTTGAAAACCAGATTAATTTTTACAAAATGATTGAAAGGAATCCCAGCTATTGTGCAGCACACAGGCTGCAATGATGACTTGGGGGACGTTGTTCTTGGCCATTTCAATTTATTTTTATAAAATGAATGAAAGGAGTGCCACAGTCATTAATATAACTGATTTGACCATGCATTGTAAATTTTGTCTTTCATCCCAGACTAGCACAGGTTATGTAAGTAGTGCAATATTTGTTTCATTTCACGGTTGTCTAAATGTCTGCACAGTCAAATATCTGTGAAAAAAATCTACTGTAGCCACTGCAAAAATCTTCACTTTACTTGCTGGGTATTGCCCATTGAACTAAGGACACTTAAAATGTGAGTGTCTGCACATTAAAGCTTGCTGACTTGTGCAAAGTAAGTGACCTCTGAGCATCTGAAAGTTACGTCACTTCAGGCAAGGGTTAATGCTGGGCTGTGCTACTTAGCTTGTTTTAGGGTAACTTCAGCCTGTTCCAGGGATAAAACAAGCAATTTGCAGTCCTCCAACAACCCAGGATGCACCACTCTCAGCTCCCCTCTGCCCCCAAACTAGAGCAGGGGTTGAGCCCAGGCACCCTAGCTCCTGGCCATGCCCCTGTTCACCAGCCCTCTAGTGGCAAGACGGAGCTATGCAGGCAAGAGCCAATCTTAGCTCAACACGCGACTGCTCACAGCACATTCCAACTTTTAATACTGTTTAACATTTCACAGTTTTGTATGGGTGAAGTGTAACACATAACTCCACCTTAAGTGCTGTCCACTGAAATGTATGGGCAAAATAGTCATCTGCAGGGGCGCAAGCCTGTATGCTTGTGATCCACTGAAAGTACTGGAGAAATATTTACTTACATGGGTAATGTAGGATGCCTCCCTGATTCTGCTAGTGTATACTAGGACCTTGCCAGCAGCCATGCTTTAAATGCCTAGTGGGTGAAACAGGAGTTAGCCCTAAGCATTCACTTAGAAGTTAGTGAAAAGCAGGTAGTCTGCTATACATGTATACCCTCACTTATTGTGCACTTATTTCCCCATGTAGACATTACTGTGAGGTAATGAGGCAGACAGGTAAACACCCTATTCTAGACAGGGTGACCAATTCCTAGCTGAAATCAGTACCTTCTGGATGTTTCCAGAAGCACCCCTTGTAGCTGCCATAGCTACAGGGATAGATACTGTCAGGAATTAACTTTATCCTTGAAGAGCTGTTTGTATAAGGAAATCTATGCAATTGTGTGCAAATGGTTATGCACTCAAATTTTAGAGAAACAATTTTGGAGGTTTCTTTGAAAAATAGTCTCACCTTTTTGTAATTTTAAACTTTGCCTGTTTCATTCTATTAGGGGCTTGTTCCCATGGAGCTCAGTACATTACATATACTTTGCAGGTTGGTATTCCAGAAATATATACCATGAATTTGGTTGCCAGGCCAGGTTGAAGGTGTTGTTGAATCACCTGCACTTTGGAAACAGCTTCAAGTTTTTGCTAATGCAACTAAGGTCCACAGCAATTCTCTTTATATATAATGTGACTTTTTCTGGTGCAAGTGTTCATAAAAACAGGACTCTTGGCAGAGAGAAGAATATACGCTTCCAAATATTGCATACTGCTTTCTCAAGGCAAATCATCTCTATTTTCTAGTAAAATAATGCCAGAATTTGAGTCCAAGCTGTGAAAGGTTGTTCTTGTTACTGTTTTGCCAAAATCCAACTTGTGCATGGCTGGGATATACCGTTTAAAAACCTTTTCAAGTATGTGCTTAATCAGAGACTTGAAATAAAAAAAATAGTCTTGAAACTGGGTTTCTTCCTGAAGATAGGAAGATTGAGGGGTATGCATGGATAGGGACCTATCAAATTTGAGGGAGCTCCCCCCACTTTTGCAGGCAGAATGTGGAGTTTGGCAGCTATTTCACAAGTGGAAAATGGTGGCCTCTCCCCAACACCTCTGATTGACTGAGGCGGCCCACAGAGGCATTGCCTGCTTTTGCGGGCAATGCTGGATTTCATGAATTTCATGAACTTGCAATTTCAGTAGGTCCCTATGCATGGAATAATTATAAATTGGCTTCCACAGTATACCTTCTCATCAGGTAGGTTTTCTCATAAATGTAGATTGATGAAGGAGACTGCGCTTTGTAGCAAAGAATTACTGTGACTTCTTGTTTGTGCCATTTTACAAAATGCTGGTATTGTCTCAAAACTGCACCATTATCTTTGTTTTAAATAAACATTAACAGTTCTATTTGCCAACAAACTTGGATCAATCTTTGCTTGCATGCTTGCTGATGTGTATGTCTGTGCATTTTCAGTTATTCTCTTATTTACTAAAATGCTGGTGATGTCTTCTGTACCATTCAACACAGCAATGTTCACTCTTGCTTCCCAGTTTGTGCCATACAGCATGAAAAGTAAATACAAACAGAATCAGTGCTGTTTTTTTCAGCTAAAACACTAGCAAGCATAATAGCACTATTTTAATAGGTACTCTTTATTTTCCTTTTAGTGCTGAAATCAGAAGAGAGAAGAAAGCTGACTCAGGGAAAGGTGTTGACCGGGAGACTTGTCTATGACTTGTTCTTCAATTTATTTTTACAAAATGAATGAAAGGAGTGCCACAATCATTGATATAACTGATTTGACCATGCATTGTAAATTTTGTCTTTCATCCCAGACTAGCACAGGTAATGTAAGTAGTGCAATATTTGTTTCATTTCACGGTTGTCTAAATGTCTACACAGTCAAATATCTGTGTAAAAAAAATCTACTGTAGCCATTTCCAAAATCTTCACTTTACTTGCTGGGTATTGGACATTTAATCAGTATGGATTTCATGCCATCAATTTAGTAAGCAAAGTTTCTTGCAAATTTTATTTAATTGCTAGTAGGCTTGTACTGTATTTTACTACTTTACCTGTGTGCAAATCCTGAATATCTAATTTCATTCCAGACTAACTTGAAACAGAGACTCAGTTCTTTTTTTATTTTTACAACTTAGCTCTAATAATTTAAGGAGACCCAAATTAACAAGTAAGAACCAATTGTAAAGATATTTTTAAAATAATAACTGGCCTGACCCTGCAACCGTGCATTAGGATATTCCTTACCCATGTGAGTTGTCCCAGTGAAATCAAGGATTACTCATGTGAATGAGGATTGCAGGATCACATCCTATATTTGTGCAGTTTTCTTGATTTAAAACTGAATATTTAATATTCAATTTTTTACATAACTGGAACCACAAAGTCATATCCTATATATATGTTCTTGCACCTTGTTTGAAAAATCACATCTGTTGATGTGAAATATTCATACAGTATTTGCTAAAAATGCAAGCTGTGATTACAATATCCAATAATGTACTGTATTAAATGTTGCTGTGGTAGGTCAAACCTGCAGTATAATGTTAATGAACCCATTATTTTATATTAGTGGGAGTTTTGTAGATATAAAGCTTTACCAGAAATATGCAGTTTTTGACCCTCCCAGTGGTGATCAGTTATTTCTAGTTTACAACCTAATATACCACCCACAAAATTACACATTAAATTGCATATTTATTCTTCTACTAGCAATCATGTATTTCTCTACTCTAGAGATGAATAATGTATTAGAGACTTAGAGGTGTCCTCCTGTTATTTTTGTTACAGGCAGTTTTCACTCTTCCATTAAATGCATGTTGATTAAAAATAAAGCTCAACATTGCAAATTAAGACATGGCTTAAAGCCATTACAAATAAGTCTTTCCAGTACATACCAAACAGATTTTGCTATGGACCCGATTCTTACTCAAGCCAAATTTCTGTGTAAACAAGGACTGCAAGATCAGGCTTTCAAAGCATTATTCAAAGTCACTATTTTTACTTTTTTATTTTTTTAAAACAAATTTTAAAATGATTAAGGAATTCTAAGTCCTAGGAATGAGGCAATAGTTTTGCAGTCTCTACAGTAATTAATTTATAGGGCTTTAAGGTTTCTTAGTTTTTCCATTATACTAATAATCTCTTCATGGAGCTGACAGGAATGATTTTTTCATAGCCAATGTGGTCAACACATTAAAACATTCCTTTTAACTCTGTTTTTACTAATTCAGCCACTGCAGAAAAGACTGTAACTGCATTCTGTTGCGTTGCAAATAAATAGGCTCACTGTTTTAAACTCTACTGAGTATTATTAAAGCCCTTTAAAGGTCATTTTTATGGAAATTATATTTAATGGATGCAAAGAAGGATTTACATTTACTAAAACTATTGTTTGTATTTATAAATTTCTGAATAAATACAGATGCATTAAGGTATAAATGCTTTGGTTTTGTGTACTTGATACATTGTAACATTCCAATTGTTTTAAAATTAGAATAGAAGTATAATACCAGTTTGTCCCTGGAAGCAGCCTGCTGGTGTTTTAATATGTTGCTGACTTTCTGTTACAGATGATCAAAATGTATTTGAAGTTTCACATGACCAACTCTTAGGATATTAAGAAATCAGTGTATTCAATGGCATTCTGTACTTCTGTTCAGTATTTGAATATTTTTTTACAGTCATTCAGTTCTTGTGTGGATTTTAAAGCTACTTCAATGTTAATCTCAACATTTTGAAACCACACACAATATAATGCAAATGTAGTGTTATATATTTACTTCTAATTTCGTATTCCTGGTCAAAACTACCAAATTTCATGGATGTAATTTATTATAAAAGTTTAAGTAATGTGAACATGTGAATAGACTATTGTGTTTTTCACAAATAAGAGATGTTATGTGGAAATAAATATTTATCCTAACTAATCTTCATTTTTCATTTTTACAAGACATGGATAAAATGTCTGTTCTGTAGGATGTGAATGCACATGCTACAATGTCTGCCTTGTGTTATATGTTTGAAAGAGTACATCAGGTAGATAGTTGGAAATGTTTCACTTGTTCTCAGAGTCTGAAGATCTGAGATTAGTGAACATTTGTAATGAATAATTTGACAAATTTATGTCCTGATTCTGCCAGCTGTTCTGTGAAGGAGGACCTCTATGTCCAGGTAGAATTCCATGACAGTATCAACACTCTGGGTGTACTGGCTACCTGTGCTAGGTAACAAGTCATTTGCTGTGCTTTGTTTCTCATTGGGATTAGTTTGCGTCTAAGTGTTAAACTTGTCTTTTATCCTGGTGGGAGAGGTGTCAGGGCTTCATAATTGTTTTGTCCCAGAAGCAAACCAGAAATCAGGTTGTTCTTCACAATCAGTCTTGTTCCCACTCCCCTGACTTGCTCTTCATTGAGATAATCTATGCCATAGATAGGCCTGGTATATATTAATTCCCATGTCCTCTGTTGGATACATACAGTAGGGTATTTAACAAGCTCAGCCTGCTCCTAGCCTCTGCTATGTGCCTCACTGATGTACAGGAAGGAGCACTGTAGTCCTGTGGAGCAACTGCTCTTTCCATCCTCCCCTTCCATGCTGTTTAGTGAATACTACATACTTGAAAACCAGCTTAGCACTGCATGCTGTTCAGATGCTGTTGTATGTACTCTCACGCACACAGCTTATTTGTATTATGGTCACTGGCCAAGCTTTACTGTAGGCTGCTTCTGTGGTGCTCCAGTCTCTGCTGGCAAAGACCCAGTGTACAGTGACTGACTGCAGATAAAATTAGACACATAATTAGGTCTGCAGCTCTTAGTAAGTACTTTCCTTTATTCAGTAGGTTGAATTCTTCCTTTTTATAACATTGCCTGGACTGGCTCAGGCAGTGATGCTAATGCTAAACCTACTGATGATAGCAGGCCTGGAGTCTGGAGACTTTGACCTTGCTCCATAGGGGCAGGTGGAATGCCTTATCCAGAGTGACGCTTGGCGTTTCATGTTGGCAGAGTTGTGTGCTGGAAACAGCACGAGTTCCATGTAGCATCCAGATCTTTTCTGGTGCCTTAACTTTAGCTAAGCCACACCTCAGGTTTCACTCCGCTCTAAGATGAAACCCACTCCTCATGCTTCCTCTCTCCAGAATGATCTCCATGCTCACCTGTCTTACCAATCTGGCTTGTTGTGGTCTTTCTGAGTTCTTTGCAACAGACTGGCACTAAGTATATAGTACAGGAGGAGAATGCAGGGCAGTATATGCCTACAGGATATAAAAATATAAGACCTTTTTTATACCATTAATACTGCAGCTTTACACTTCAAATAAGTTTTCAGTTAACTCCTATTAGTAACTTGTCAGATAAAGCAAGTATAATTTAAGATAATTAACATAATGCTTTGTTCTGCTTCACAGATAAAAGAAAACAAAATAGATCAGCATATCTAGAGCTCATAGAACTTTTTCATCAGATACTAAAATAGTTAAGGTAGGCAAAATGTGGAGGATACTACATGATGTTCCTATGAAAGGAATGTAAACCACAATATAAAGTTCTAAAGTTTCCTTTTTAAAAAGGCATTTCTTCTTTTGATATCAATGATCATTGATCAAGAAATACTAAGAGATTCCTAATGGAGCTCTAATATTTATTATGTATGAGAAATTTGTTTTATACATGATAGAGTTCCACAGTTGCCTTATTACTTGTCACTAAAAAAAAATACTTACTGCACTGATCCATCCATCAGGGAGGAAAAGTCCTGGATTTTGCTATCACTTCTATAGGTTGACCTTCTTTGTATCATCTGGCATCTCAAAACCAGTAAAGGTGGATGCCAGGGAAAGTATAGATCACCTAGATATACCTGGTTTAATGCTTGCCCTCTCTAAAGCAGGTTTGCTAAAAGTGGCATGGACAGCCTTTGCATGTGGCATGCAGCAGATAGAGGAGGGACAGGCAGCACAGTGGCAGCTAGGGAAAGAAGCAGAAAGCAAAGTAATACATTGGGCAGGGAGTACAGGGCCAGAAGCAGAAAGCAGAGCAGCAAATCTGGGAAGGTAAGGGGATTGGAGTGGCAATTGGGAAGGATGTGGGGCTAATTTGTGGCACATCCACCAAAAAATGTCAGCCACTGCTGGAAAACATCCATTCCTCTCAAAGACAGCACACTGGACTAGATGGACCAGTATGGCAGTTCTTATGTTCTTACTTACCTTATTCTCACTTGTGTTAAGTCAAGGTTTTGAGGGTAGCAGAGGGGTTGTAAAAAAAGACTATTTTCTAATGCTGTAGTATTGGTAGATTGGTTGATATTATGCACCTCTTAGGAAAAAAAAATAGATACTTTGTATTTCTATAGCACATTTTACCAAAGTTCTCAATGGTATGTTAGGAAAATTTGATCTTGAACAAAAACTTGAACCTAAAGCCAGCACTATAATGCATGCAACCTTCTCCCTGTTTCACAGAAGACTGGTTAATTTGACACGAGGCTGAGTTGCTTATACAATTTTCAAAGTGTTTGTGAAAGTTTTATCCTTATTTTGTACCAGAATTTGATCTTTTGTCTTCATTCATGGACATGTACAAGAAGAAAAAGTTAAAGCAGGCCAACATTTATCATCTGACTATACTGCTACTTCTGCATTCACATTTACTGTTACAAAAACTCTCTATGGACACAGTAGGTTCATAATGAGAGTGTGTTAGTTGTCAATGCACTAAGTGTAGTACAGAACCAATGTACAACATGATATGATACTACTAAAGGCTAATGCTGCTATAAAAGGAGGTAATATTTCACTAGAATATTATATAACTAAACATGATTTTTTTTTTGTTATTTTAGATAGCTAGGAAGATGACTATGCATATCATATAGGACAGACTTTGGTACCCCAAATGTTGCTGTGCTGCCTTTAAAAGAAATGCTTCCTTTTCTACTTATGTTTACAAAAAAAAGCACTCTGGGAAATTAAGGAAACAAACAGTTTAGAGCTGAAGTGTGTTTTAGCAGTGTGGAGATTCCCAAGTGAACCTCTACTAATAAATCTGAGATAAATTTACAGATAGATTACAGAAAATTAATAAATGGCATATTCATATTTGCTCACAATGATTGCTAGATTGTCAGCCTGCATTCTCAAATTTCTTTTTAAATACTGGCAGTATATCACGTGCTCTGTGACACCCGAGGAGATATACCTGTCCTAAAGGGAGGAACCCAAGGCCAAAAACAATCTAATAATTTATAATTGGTAAAGGACATAAGGGTTTTACTGCCCAATAGTTGTACAGTAACTACCTATGTATGTGTCATTTACAGCAGAACAAGAGCAGCTAGCTTAGCCCTTAATTAATGAAATGACCAGAGATCCTTGCTCAGATTTTACTAAAGCAGATTCTATTAAAGTCAACAAGGCTCTGTTTTATTAAGTAACTAGTAAATTTGATAGTATTGCTCGCCTTTAGGTATTAGCAAAATTCAGCCCCCAGTTCTGGCAGGTATTACTCAAGACCTTTGCTAAAAGTTACTTTCCATAATTTTTGTTAAAGGCTCACAAGATATTTAGGAATAGTCACACACATACATGTATCTGTATTACAGTATTTATGTCATATCAACTCATAGAAAGGATTGGTCTAGAAAAAAAACCCAACAGGATTCTCTGCAATGAATGGAATACCAACATTACTACATCCCTATGAATGGTTTTAGCAGAGATGGTCAAACATAAGATAATTTTTGCAAAAAGGTTTTATTGAAAATTTAATCTAGGTTCTTTGTAAAAGCAATCAGATTTCAGAAAACTTAAATAAAATGTATTCTTTAGTCTTCTGAACTTCCCAGCCCCTGTTCAGTTAGTTACTCTATTTAAAAATATATCCATGATAAATTATCCATGGTCAAAATCAGTATCACCAATCAGTGAAAGGGACCATGCTTCTTTCCATCTCAGACTGCAAGCGGTAAGTATGACAAGGTATCAATTCAAGTACCACACTTAAAAAAAATTGGCAAAGGACATGTAAACATTTTGGTGCAGATAAAAACCTGATTTAAACACATTTCAATAAAAAAAAAATGCAATGGTTGCTTGGCAACAGAGGTTGTCATAAAAATTAACATTTCATTGTGTGCAGACAGGCTACAAGGATTTAACAAACCTTTAATTTCTTCATTCAGATGTTCATAAAGTTATAGTGGCTCAGTGCAAGTTTATGGAAGGAGAATCAGCTGGACAAATTGCTATTAACAACTTGATCAATCCTGATATAATGTGAAATGTCACTTTGGTGCTAAGACAATGAGAAACACTGCTTTATGAAATAGCTCATATGGGTGTAGATATGTTTGTGCGCCTGACCATCAATGCCATGGTCTTTGTCCGTATACCACTGCGGAAAAGAAAATACAAGTAATATTTTAACTTGCTCCATAGTAAAAAAGTATAATTGATAGATTCTATAGAAATACTTAATATAAATATCAATTAAAAATATGCAACCAGTAAACATTATGGTTTAAGGCTGATCAGGGGTGATTCAGAATGAGGCTGGAGACATGATGGGGGCAGTCTGTGTTACTAAGGGACTTAAGGAGTGTAAGGAAGAGGGAATGAAGATATATTTCACTGCCTGTTTCCTTGCTCTGTGTGGGTTGTTGGTCAGCCATGTAGTCTATCAGCTTTAACTCCGAGTTAAAGGGGAAATTTCCCAAGTTTTAGTATCAATTTTGATAGCACTGCTTCTTGTAAAACCTCTCTGTGCAGCCTAGATGACAAAAACAGCTTCACAAAAACTCTTCTTCCTTTCCTGGAAGACTTCAGAACTGGATTTTCCCTTCAAATCCTGTTCAACCTGTCAAGCCTCCACTGTGTGTCTGTGAACGAGAAGATACTTCTGTAACTGACAACAACAGCGTGGGCTTCAATTCTCCTTCCACCTGTCTCCTTAAACATCATTTACCAACTGCTAGGACAGAATAGGAGAGCGAGAACCTGAGGCTGCCATATGCAGTATCAGCAGAAAGAAGTAGTTGGTGAATGTGAAGAGAGCTGTCACCTAATTTTGGTGTTGCTCAGCTAGGTTATCCCAAACAAAGAAAAAGACTCTAATGTCCACAAAACCAAATTTTCACTACAGGCTTAAGAATGAGATGTTATCAGAGTCTAAGTGAAAATTGGAGTTTCACATGCACACACTGGGTTCTCATTTAGATACAGAAAAGGAAGGAAAAAATCAGTGAACATTTAAAAAAGTTGCATTTGAAAATATTTTTTATGCACAAATTATCGAGTCTGTTACTAAAAAAAAGTATATGGTGACCTCAGCTGTCTGCTGCAGAAACAGTGTGCCATTTCTGGGGGCCAGCTTCAGTCGCCAGAGGCAAAACATGGCATTTTAGTCTTTGTTTAAGTACAAATCAACACAAGCTTAATGGGTAAGTTGCTACTGATGTCTCACTATAACACACACACATTTTCTGTGATGATAGAAGTAAGAATAACAGCTCTCCCAGGCAGATATGAAGGGAGACTGTAACCCTGACAACATTTGTTATAAGCACTGAGCCATACCATTGCCTGGAAATCCACCTCAGCATCAACAAGAGCTTTGGAGATCTGTGCTGCTTGCTGAAAATGAACGTTATCTGGAAATGAGAAAAAAAAAGGGAAAGGAAAGGTAAAAGCAGAAACTGCTTTTGCATCACTCTGGGGAAAAACATAGCAATGAGAAGAACACAAACAGGATTGTTTAGAATCCAAGACTCCCCTGCTTACTAGAAGACAAATTAGTTGTAGAAAGCCACATTATTTTATTGATGCAAATGTAACAGCCTTGCCCCTTCATGCTTTTGTTTTGTCAGTAGTAGAATTGCAAACCTGTCTGTAATACTAAAATGTCTAATTAACTGCAACTCACCATCTGCTGTTCCATGAATAAGGAGATACTCAACTTGCTGAAAATTTTCAGCTCTGGCCATTACTGTTGAATTCTGAAATTTAAAAAAGTGCTATTATTTAATAAATGGCTTGCTACCAAATCACTTTCATTCCAGTTAACAAAAATCAGGGGTCCTTTGGATACAAATAAACAAAGTAACATTCAGATACAAGGACACTACATTAGGTTCAAGCTGCTCTGTTCTTCTCTGGGTTTTGTATGCTGGGTATGGCTGCAAAGTAACCTGAGTATTCCCATGCAGCAGAGTTAAGTGAGGGAGATACCCATCTACTGCATTGCTGCCATGTGGATTGCTTGCACAGTTAGGTTTGCCATGGGTATTCATTGCTATCCAGCAAACATTAAAACATGTATTACCATGGCAACTCTGTGTCCTACAGTAGTATATACTACTATATCTCAAAGACACTGCATGCAGCACTTTGTTCAACTGAACGCTACAATTTATTGTGGTTACATCCATGTGAAGCATCCTTATCATTTCCAAGCAAAAATGATGGAATAAGACATTTAAAAATTGGGACGTTACAAAGTACAAGAAACCAAAATAAAAACAACAGCAAAGACCTCCCCCCATCCAAAAACAAGCGCCAAGAAAATAATACTGAATCAAAATAAACTGAACGTAACATGTACTTTGGCGATTAGAATAATATCGACATGTGAAAAGCAGGGGCTAAAATGAATCACGACAAATTTAAAACATGGTGACAGTGTGCTAACTGCGAATAGAATAACTGCTGAGACTGGCAACTGCAACTAAGTGCTGTAAAGAGGCAATTCAGACTGGAGAGAAGAAAATTTCTTTGAACAAGCAAAGAAAATATGATAATGCTCCAGGATGCACAGAGACTACCAAAGAGTAGACCTGGTGAGAAATCCAACATACTGAGATAAAGCATAGGTTAAACACTAATATTCCTCCACTAACAGTACTCACAGCTTCTTTATCAGTCTCTCATCCCTTTGTAAACTTTTTTTGATTTACCTCCAGATATGCAGTGATGTAGTTATATGATAAGATTACATCTGTATTAAGCTACCATATAGTATAGAAAGATAAATGTAAAGAAAAAAGAATCCAGAGTTAATTCTTCCTTAGTAGGGTGTCAAATTTGATTTCTTGTATAAAATTAGGTTTATATCCCGTACATCTGAATCTTCATTATTTTACATCAGTGGTTTTCCATCTTCTTTTATTTGTGGACCCCTAACAATTTCAAATGGAGGTGCAGATTCCTTTGGATTTTAAGTGTGGGTATTCACATACCTCTGATTGATCACAGTCATCTTTCACAGACCCATCAGACAGTC